GCGCACCCGCTATGGTGTCGAGACTCTGCCACGCCTGCTATTCCGTGGACGACCGTGACGGGTAGCGGCCACGCTGAGGGACCACCCCCTGCGCACTCCTTGTGGTGTCGAGAATCGGCCACGCCTGCTATGCCCTGGACGACCGTGACGGATAGCGGCCGCGCTGAGGGACCAACCCATGCGCACCCCAGATGGTGTCGAGAATCTGCCACGCCTGCTATGCCCTGGACGACAGTGGCGGGTAGCGGCCGCGCTGAGGGACCACCCCCTGCGAACTCCCCATGGTGTCGAGAATCCGCCACGCCTGCTATCTCCTTGACGACCGAGACGGATCGCGGCCGCGCTGAGGGACCACCCTCTGCGCACCCCCTATGGTGTCGAGAATCTGCCACGCCTGCTATGCCTTGGACGACGGTGACGGATAGCGGCCGCGCTGAAAGACTACCCCATGCGCACCCCAGATGGTGCCGAGAATCTGCCACGCCTGTTCTGCCCTGGACGACCGTGACGGGTGGCGGCCGCGCCGAAGGATCACCCCCTGCGCACCCCCTAATGGTGTCGAGAATTTGCCGCGCATGCTATCTCCTTGGCGACCGAGCCGGATCGCGGCCGCGCTGAGGGACCACGCCCTGCGCACCCCCTTATGGTGTGGAGAATATGCCACTCCTGGTCTGCCCTGGACGACCGTGACGGATACCCCCAGGTACGTGTCGAGAATCTGCCACGCCTGCTATGCCTTGGACGACCGTGACGGATAGCGGCCACGCTGAGGGACCACGCCCTGCGCACCCCTTGTGGTGTCGAGAATATGCCATTCCTGCTGTGCTTTGGACGACAGTGGCGGATAGCGGCCGCGCTGAGGGACCACCCCGTGCGAACACCCTATGGTATCGATAATCTGCCACGTCTGCCCTGCCCTGGACGATCGTGACGGATAGCGGCCGCGCTGAGGGGCCACCCTCTGCGCACCCGCTATGGTGTCGAGACTCTGCCACGCCTGCTATTCCGTTGACGACCGTGACGGGTAGCGGCCACGCTGAGGGACCACCCCCTGCGCACTCCTTGTGGTGTCGAGAATCTGCCACGCCTGCTATGCCCTGGACGACCGTGACGGATAGCGGCCGCGTTGAGGGACCACCTCCTGCGCACCCACTTATGGTGTCGAGAATCTGCGACGCCTGCTCTGCCCTGGACGACGGTGACGGATAGCGGCCGCGCTGAGGGACCACCCCCTGCGCACCCCCATGGTGTCGAGAATCGGCCACGCCTGCTATCTCCTTGACGACCGAGACGGATAGCGACCGCGCTGAGGGACCACCCTCTGCGCACCCCCGATGGTGTCGAGAATACGCCAGTCCTGCCATGGTGTCGAGAATATGCCACTCCTGCTATGCCCTGCCTGCTGGTGCCGATGTCCGGTGGCGGTCATGTGTACGATGCGTACGCGGCTGTATCTGGGCGTGTGTCATGTTGGTGCCCAATACGTGTCATGTGTATGATGCGTGTGCAGATGTATCTAGACACGTGTCTCATGCGCGTGCCGTGCATGTGTTGCCAGACCCCCACGTGCCGTGCATGCGTTGCGCTCGGGAGGTGCGAGGGAGAGGAGAGGAAGAGGAGGAGGGGAAGAGGGAAGCGTGTGGTGGGAGGAGACACGGGTGCGACGCGGCGGAGAAGAAAACCAGAACCCCACGAAACATGGGGGGCATGACCAACGAACAGAAGCCAGCATGGCGAACACTGCTGGGCAAATCATTCGGCCGCCGACCCCCGCACCGGTTTGCCGAGCCAGCCAAGCCAGAGCTTGAGGGGGGGAGGTGCAGCATTGGAGACCTCCTGCGATCAGCTGCCGATGATACTCATCATCGTGGTCATCCCATCCCTTCGCGTCCTTCTTGGATCGCGCGCCAGGCTTGGGGATAAAGCGTCTTTCGACTTGAGCGCCGACCTCGGAGGGCTGAGCATCAGCAGTCCCGACTCCAGCATGACTCAGGATCTGCATTGCGATCTCCACCCAGGGTCGCGTGCCCTTTCACGACATTGCAGGCGTCCCTGTCTCGTAACTGTATCTTGTGCAGCTGGGAAGGACGATTGCAGCCCACATGCAAAACTATTCAGCGTTGAGATCCCAAACAGCATGCGTCTACCACTATATGTTGTGTCACCTCGGTGGAGCAATCTATGTAGTGCAATCGATGTGGCCTACTATACGTTGTGCAATCTATGTGGCGCAGTTTATGCTGTGCAGCTTATGTGGTACTTTCTAGGTTGTGTAATCTATTCGGTGCAATATCGGTTGGGCAGTATACGTGGTGCAACCTATGAGCTGCAACCTAGGTGGTTCAATCCCTGTTGGCTAGGTTGAGCAATCTATGTGGAGCAATATATGTGGAGCAATCTGCGTTGTGCTGTCCACGCTGTGCAATTCGTGCGGTGCATAGCGACGGGGCGACGACGGCGACGACACAGCCGCAAGACCAACCCGCAGGCCCAGACGACGTGCGGCGACGAGGCGGCGACGAGGCGGCGACGGCGACGACACAGTCGCCAGACCGACCCACAGGCCCAGGCGACGGGCAGCGACCAGGCGGCGACGGAATCGATATAGCCGCCAGATCGACCCGCAGGCCCAGCCGACGGGCGGCGAGGAGGCGGCGACGGGGAGGCGATGGCGACGACGTAGCCGCCAGACCGACCCGCAGGCTCAGTTCCGTAGACGACAGCTGGGGAACCCTAGGTGCAAGCACAATTTGGGACCACAGGCCGTCCCACCGCAGAAGGTCAGCACTGACGGCTGCATTCGTGATAAGGCGCCGAATCTCACCGAGCAGGGTACGAAGAAGCTTCCGAGTGTTCGTGCCGTCCCTCTGCCAGCCTGGCGCTGGACGGCGCTGGCCTCCTCTGCGCCGCTCGGGGTGAGCGTGCTGCCGCAGCGCCAGCAGGCGTCACGCACCACATCGGTGGCCAAATCTGAAAGGGCTTCAGGACACACAAATAAATACACACAAATAAAAATATTCCCAATATTTTCTTATATTTTCTGAGTTTCCGTCTTCCACCCCACTTCCCATATTTTCCAATATTTTCGGGGAATCGACGATTAATTGTGTCTGTGTGTTTCTTCCCCTCCTAAAAATCATGGGCTGTAGACGCTCTGGATATGGGGCCATGCCGTGTCATCGATCCGCAAGGTCGGGCCCCATTGCCCTTCGGGTGCCACTCATGGGAGCCTCCCATACCGTCTTCCGGCTCATGCGAATCGACGCTACTCGACACCGAATCGACGCTAATTCGACGACAATCGACGCTCACCGACGCTAAACCGGTGGCATCTCATCGACTCCCAGAGGCTAATCGGCGCGACAGACAACATTTACAGGGATTTCCAGGCTCCCATGAGTTGCTACCGAAATTGCCCCGTCCATCCACCATTCCTCGAGGACTCCATCCCACGTCCCCAGGGAGAAGCTGATCAAAGAGCTGGCCAGCATCACACCGCAACGAGCGAACACCGGGCCCCCCCTCTCCAGTGCCTTCTGGGGGCGCTTCGGAAGCCTCTTCTGAGGCTTTCCTGGGGGGCTCCCCAGCGGGGGGCTCGGCGGGGGTGTCCGACGTGACCGCGCGCCCCTGCCTCGCGCGCTCTTCTGGGTTCTGGTGTGCTGCCCTGCTGGGGCCCACTGTGCATGCTGCGGGGGCTTGGGTTAGGTCGGGCACGCCCTCCAACCGGCGGATTTTCGAGGAAAGACAAGAAATGGTCGAGCAATGCGCACAAGTAGCCAAGCGAGCGCGCAACATCGCCGCCAGACTATATGTTCAACTGCTCTTGGCTACTCCTCCTGTAGAGGGACATATGCCCGACTTCCTGCTTGGGGTCGGGGGGGCCACGAGCGGTGGCGCACGTGCGCGCTGGACTGCGAGCTCGACGCCAGCGGCGCCCTGGAGATGCGAGAGAGCGGGGAACACGGCGGCTCCGGGCCCCTCCGGGGCCGCCCCGCCTCGGGCCGAAGTCGGCGTGCCCCCTGCAAGCCTCGAGTAGGGGATCGACTACAGAATTGATTACCCAGAACTTGCTTCTTTTTAAGTTGAATCTGCGAAGATACGCAGATTGTTCGTAGATCCACGAACATTCGACGTCTTTTCCGTAGTTTCGGCTACTCGAAAGCCGCCGACCATATCGCCCCCAACGTCACAAAAGCCGACGGGCGCTTCGGCCAGTGCCCACCACGCCCACTGGGAAACCCCTGAGCCCCGGAGAGGCTGTCATCTCCTGGGGGTGGGGGCAGCTCCTGCTTCCGTCAGGCCTCCGCCGAAGGAGACCCTGAGCGATCACCGCTGCACCCGACCGCAGAGGGCAGCCAGCACTGGCCCGGGGCCGCCGGTGGCCCTCTGGCCTTCAGCCTCGAGCGTCCGCGTTGGCGGCGCCGCCGCGTCAGCGCGTCGCGAACGCGCTTCTCTCCCAGATGGCGACGCGGTGTTCTCGAGCCTCGGGTCGGCGACTCCGAAGAGTGCGGCTTGCAAAAGGTCTGGTCTGCAACCGGCGTCCGAGGGGGCGGGCGATGACCTCGGCAGAGATCTCCCCCGCGTCCCGACGAAGGCTCATCAAACCTTCGGCGCAAGGCGGCGACCCCTTCAGCCTCCACGGCGCCGATCGCAAACCACACCGTGGCGTATCGGCACCCATTGCGGTCGCCGATCGGGCCCCGGACCCCTCGACCCCTTCCCCAGGACCCCCAGGACCGCATCCCACCAGCCTTTTAGGTCGTGAGTGGTTTAGCCAGTTTCCTTTTCCATCCTCCTTCTTCCCCTCCGGGGAGGGGTTTATCACTGTGCCCTCTTCTAAACACCACCTCCCCCAGGCGACCGGCAGCCAACCCAGACCAACGAGAACCCCTCCCACCATCCCATGTGCGTCCAGATTTGGAGCATGCGCCAGCGCGCCCCGCGACCACTTTGCATTGGTTTTTGAAAGGGCTCCCTGGAGGAGCCGCCCTTCTCGCAGAACGCTCGGCACTTCTCTTCAAGGGTATTCGAGATTCTGAACTCCTTGGGGCCAGGGCCTCAGGCACCTGGGGTCCTGCTGGTCCCCCGTAGCTGTCGCACCTGGCGCGGCTGGAGCACGTGGCACAGTTGGCGGACGTGGAAAATGTGCCGCACCTGGCACGCTTGGGCCTCCAGGGCTCCAGGGTGCCTGGTGCACACCTGGAACCCGTGGCGCGCATGACATGTGTGGCGTCCATAGGCGATCTGCTGACACTCAGGTGTTACTCATGTGTTGGGAGGGCGCGTTGGCAGTGAGCAAGACCAAATGCTATCTAGGAGGGTATCTTGATCACTGATCCCTATTCATATACACCCCCTCCCCCAGGCGACTGGGAGCCAACCCGATCCAATGAGGGCCCCCCCACCATCCCTTGTAAAAAAAACAATACAAAACGCACTCTGCCTCCGAATTCGGAGCATGCGCAGCGAACCCGATGCGGCCTCCCCCTACCACCCCTGTCAAAAAACAATGCGGCGGCGGCGGCTGCGGCGGCGGCGGGGGCAGCGGCTGCGGCGGCTGCGGCGGCGGCGATTCGGCAGCGGGGGCGGCGGCGGCGACGGCGGCGCTGGCGGCGGCGGCGGGCGGCGCGGTGGCGGCCGCCGCCGCGGCGGCGGCGGCGGGCGGCGGCGGCGGCGGCGGCTGAGGCGGCGGCGGCAGCGGATTCGCCCCCAGTAGCTGCCCATCCAAAGACGACTGCTGAATCTACTGCGGCTCGGGCCAGGCTCGGGTGCTGCGTGTGTGTTGGGAGGGCGGGTGGGAGTGAGCGAGACGGCTTGCGGGCGGGGAGGGTAGCTTGACCCATCCCCTTACCCCCTCCCCCTGGACCTGGAGGGGGGAGGCAGCGAGGGTTGGAGCGTCCAAGATGGCCTCGGCGAGAAGGCACAATTCAGTGATTTCACAAAAAGGTTTTGCGCTTGCTTTGGCCTCTTGGAGGGGGGCCTAATTGAGCCCCCCCGTCTTTGATGGAACTCCTCCAAGATGGCCTCGAGATGGCCGCCCCCGAGACTCCTGAGAGTGCCCTAGGAGGGCCAGGATGAGCCCAGGAGGCCCCACGAGGCCCCCAAGATGCCCCCAAGATGCCCCCAAGAAGCTCCCAAGAAGCTCCCAAGAGACCCCCAAGAGGCCTGGCCTCAAGAGGCCCCCCCGAGTCACTCAAGACGATTCGAGAACTCCTCGGGGCCGCCACTTGAAGCCCCCAAGGCGCCCCAACAGGCCTACAAGAAGCTCTCGAGACATCCGAATATACACAGAGAAGCACCCAAGAGGCCTCTGGCCTTCCTGTTCGCCCTCCTCCTCCTCCTCCTCCTCCTCCTCCTCCTCCTCTTCCTCATCCGCCTACTCCTCCTCCTCCTCCTCCTCCTCCTCCTCCTCCTCCTCCTCCTCCACCTCCTCCTCCTCCTCCTCTTCCTCAACCTCTATCCTCCCCTTTTTGGGTATGACGGCTTCACAGTTTTTATTCCACTGCGTGCTCCCCCCACATGTCTGCTCAGGGCAACTCCCCTGGGCATCGTTTCTGGGCGGTTTGCTGCTGCGGATCTCGATCCTCGAACCTCGCGAGGATCGCTCCCCCAGTCCCCCTGGCTGGAGTCCATTCTGGCCAATTTCAAAATCCTGGAGCGCTTTCTGAAGGTCCCGCCGGGGCGCGAAACGAGCCCCCAGACTCGAAGGACACATATGGCAAGGGGAGCTTAGCAAACCAGCTGCATGCGACTGGTCTCCTTGGCGCCCCCCGACGCCTGAGGCGGCCGCGCGTCGAGGGGTGAGGAGGACTGTGCCTGGCGGCAGGCCGCAACCAGCTGCGCGCAGCGGATTTCCCTGGCTGCCCCGTCCCAAACCCCTCCCTCGCCCCACCCGGAGGATCCGTCGCCCCGTTTTATCGGGTCATGACTCGGGTCTCCGGCGGCCGTTCCGCACGATGCGGGCAGCCCCGGGGTGCTCTCGGCGAGGCGCCGCTGCTGGAAGCCATCCCGAGGCCAAACAGCTGACGATACGTGACGAAAGCGCCCAAGAGCCTCGGACATCGAACGGCCGACCCGATCCCTCATTCCCGTCCCCCTCCTTTCTCCTGCCTCCTATTTTGTTGTTTCTCCTCCTTCTCCCTCCTCCCTCCTCTCTCCTCCCTCCTCCTCCTTCTTCCCTTCTCCCTCCTCCTCTCCATCCCTCTCTCCTCCCTCCTCCTCCTTCTTCCCTTCTCCCTCCTTCTCCACCTCACTCCCTCCCTCCCTCCCTCCCTCCCTCTCCTCCTCCTCCTCCTCCTTCTCCTCCTCCACCTCCTCCTTTTCCTTCTTCTCCTTCTGAATCTCCTCCTCCTCCTCCTCCTCCTCAATCTCCTCATTCTCCTGAATATCCTCCTCTTCCTCCTCCTCCTCCTCCTCCTCCTCCTCCTCCTCCTCCTCCTCTGTTTCTTCTTCGTAAAAGTGGTATTGTTAATATTATTGTTATTAGTATTATTACTGCTACTATTATTATTGTTCTTATTATTAGTATTATCATTAGTATTATCATTATTAGTATCATTATGAATATTATTATGATTGTTATGTTTGTAAGAATTATTATTATTATTATCATTATTATTATTATTAATACTAGTATTGTTATTGTTATTACTATTACTACTATTATTATTAGTATTATGATTATCATTATTATCATTGTTATTAGTATTAGTATTATTTATATTATTATTATTATCATTATTATTAGTAGTATTATTCTTATTATTATTATTGCTAGTATTAATAATATTATTATGATTATTACTATTCGCATTACCATTATCAGTATCATAATCATTATTATCAGTATTGTTCTTACTACTATTATTATTATTATTATCAGCTTTATTATTATTATTATTATTAGTAATATTAGTAGTCGTATTATTATTATTGTTATTATCATGACCATTATCATTATTATTCTTGTTATTATCCTCCTCCTCCTCCTCCTCCCTCCTCCTCCTCCTCCTCCTCCTCCTCCTCCTCCTCCTCCTCCTCCTCCTCTCCTCTCTCTCCTCCTCCTCCTCCTCCCTCCTCGTCCTCGTCCTCCTCTCTCCTCCCCTCCTCCCCTCCTCTCCTCCTCCTCCTCCTCCTCCTCCCTCCTCCTCCTCCTCCTCCTCCCCTCCTCCTCCTCCTCCTCCTCCTCCTCCTCCTCCTCCTCCTCCTCCTCCTCCTCCTCCTCCTCCTCCTCCGCCTCCTCCTCCTCCTCCTCCTCCTCCTCCTCCCTCCTCGTCCTCCTCCCTCCTCCTCCCTCCTCCTCCTCCTCCTCCTCCTCCTCCTCCTCCTCCTCCTCCTCCTCCTCCTCCTCCTCCTGCTCCTCCACATCCTCCTCCTCCCCCTCCTCCCCCTGCTCCTCCTCCTCCTCTTCCTCCTCCTCCTCCTCCTCCTCCTCCTCCTCCTCCTCCTCCTCTCGTCCAGCGCAGCACGCTGGGGGCACGCGCCGCCAGTTGCCGAGCCCCGCGCTTCTTTGGGGAGAGCGCAGCCGCCGCCTTTGCCGAGGACAGGTCCTGGCCAGGGGAGGGGGCAGCGACGCGGCGGCACACGGGGGAGGCAGGGGGAGGACGCGAAAGTGAAGGGGTCCCAGGACAAACAAATAAATACACACAAATAAACAGATTCCCCATATTTTCTTATATTTTCTGGGTTTTTGTCTTCCCCCCCACTTCCCATATTTTCCAATACTTTCCTGGGCATCGACGATTAATTGTGTCTGTGTGTTTTTGTCCCCTCCTGAGAAAGGGAGGGAGAAGGGGACGGGGAGGAGAGAAGGGGACGCGGAGATCCCACGCTCAAAAACATCTGAGCGGCGGGTCCTGGGCTGTTTCCAGCCTCTGGGCGCCCTCGGCGGGCCTCGGGAGGTTCAGAAAGCGGCCTGGGATGAAAGACCGGCGCCGGGGAAGTGGTCTGGACCTCCGTGGCCCACGCATCGAGACACTTGGAGGGGGAGGAGGAGGATGTGGGAGGGGGGAGGAGGAGGAGGATGTGGGAGGGGGAGGAGGACATGGGACGCGGGAGGAGGGGATCTCGAGGAGGATGGGGAGTGAGGGAGAGGCCCAGAGATTGGATCAATTTTGTTTGAAGGCCCCTATCGGGGCCCCAGGAACCAAAAATAACCCCAACCCACCTTCCGCTCTCAGTTTTTCTCGACGCGAGAAAGTCTGGGGATGGGATGGGGGAGAGACGAGGAGGGACCAGGAGGGATCGAAGCAGAGGATCAAACGGTCAGCCATCCAAGTGGCGCAGAGCAGCGCGCCACCCTGCCGAGAGCTGAGGTCAACAGCAGCACAGTGCGCCCCCCGACGTAGATCAAGTCGTAGTGAGGATCCTTGGAGGGAGGAGGAGGAGGAGGAGGAGGAGGAGGAGGAGGAGGAGGAGGAGGAGGAGGAGGAGGAGGAGGAGGAGGAGGGAGAGGAGGAGGAGAAGAAGGAGGGGGGGGGATGAAGACGACTTGAACAACATCAAGACGCAGGCTTTCAACACTTTCCACGTTGCGAGGCGGTATTTACTGCGAGGCGGGCTATGTCTAGAAACACCGCCAGGGGGATCGATATTCGGGAACCTCGGCAAGCGGTGGGTAAGGATATACTCCAGGCCCCGAGAGTATCGATATCCACCGCCAGTCGAGATCCCCTAAGGTGGATCCCCCGGGCGGTGGTTGTGGAGCAATCCCCGCGTCGTGCCACGATGACGTCGAGACACGGCTCAAGACAAGGACTCTCAAGGCCAAGACTTCTGATAACCCCGTGCTGAACAAACTAAGACATCGGATCTCAGGGGGGGGGAGGGAAATGGGAGGGAGAGGGGGAGGACGGCGCCAATCGATTCGACGGAACCGTCCCCGGCAGCGAGCATCGAGGAGAGGGAAGAAAGAAAGAGGAGGGGATGCTGAGAGGCGAGGAGGACGCGGGAGGAGAACGTGGGAGGATGAGGACATGGAGAATGATGATGAGGAGGAGGAGGAGGAGGAGGAGGAGTAGTAGTAGTAGTAGTAGGAGGAGGAGGAGGAGGAGGAGGATGTGGGAGGGGGAGGAGGACGTGGGACGCGGGACGAAAAGGATCTCGAGGAGGATGAGGAGGGAGGGAGAGGCCCAGATATCATATTCATGTTGTTTGAATGCCCTGGGGCCCTATCGGGGCCCCAGAAACCAAACATTATGCTAACGGAGTTCCCCACATAAAGAGATTAACGGTTTTGGGGGACCCATTTTCTTGATGCCCTCCTCGCTCAGGCGGGGCCTCCCTGGAGGGGTGGGAGGGGCACGAAATCATGTAAATAGTATGGTATTCCGATACCCTCCTCGCTCAGGCGGGGCCTCCCTGGAGGGGTGGGAGGGGCACGAAACCATGTAAATAGTATGGTATTCCGATACCCTCCTCGCTCAGGCGGGGCCTCCCTGGAGGGGTGGGAGGGGCACGAAACCATGTAAATAGTATGGTATTCCGATACCCTCCTCGCTCAGGCGGGGCCTCCCTGGAGGGGTGGGAGGGGCACGAAACCATGTAAATAGTATGGTATTCCGATACCCTCCTCGCTCAGGCGGGGCCTCCCTGGAGGGGTGGGAGGGGCACGAAACCATGTAAATAGTATGGTATTCCGATACCCTCCTCGCTCAGGCGGGGCCTCCCTGGAGGGGTGGGAGGGGCACGAAACCATGTAAATAGTATGGTATTCCGATACCCTCCTCGCTCAGGCGGGGCCTCCCTGGAGGGGTGGGAGGGGCACGAAACCATGTAAGTAGTGTATGTGGTATGGTATGGTATGGTATGGTATGGTATGTGTGGTTGGAACTATGGTATGGTATGGTGTGTGTGGTAGGAATAATATTGTGCTGTATGGAAGATGGAGCGGGAGGTGGGTGGGAAGGAGAGGGTGTTCTGGGAAAACAAGAACCCCACTCAGGATGTGGGGAATTATCCCAGTGCGACCCTACCTAGGAGTTGGAACACTTAGGAAAGCAGCATCTACATCGACATCTGCATTTAGGAAAGCAACACCTACATCTTCTATCCCATGCTATGCTGCGCTATGCTATGCTATGCTATGCTATACTAGGGTACGCTCGGCTGCGCTGTGTTATGATAGGCTATGCTATGCTACGATATGCTGCGCTATGCTATGCTATATTATGCTATGATATGCTATGTTATGCTGCGCTATGTTATGTTATGATATGCTATGCTATGCTGCGCTATGCGATGATATGCTATGCTATGCTATAATACGAGATGCTGCGCTATGATATGCTATGATATGATATGATATGATATGCTGCGCTATGCTATGCTATGCTATACTATGATGTGCTGTGTTATGCTATGCTATGCTGCGCTGTGCTATGCTTATCAATACTATGCTATGTTATGCCTTGCTGCGCTATGCTATGCTATGCTATGCTATGCTATGCTATGCTATGCTATGCTGAGCTATGTTATGCTATGATATGGTATGCTATGATATGCTATGCTATGCTATGCTTGGCTATGCTATGCTATGCTATGCTGTGCTAATGCTGCGCTGTGCTATGCGGCGCTGCGCTAAGCTGAGCTAAGGTAAGCTAAGCTATGCTAAGCTAAGCTAAGCTAAGATGAGATAAGCTAAGCTAAGCTAAGCTAAGCTAAGCTAAGCTAAGCTAAGCTAAGCTTAGCCAAACTGGGTAAACCCAGGGAGCGCAACTGGGGGAACCGCGGGGCGGATGCCGGGGGAACCGCTCGGGGCGAGGAACACTGCCTGGCCCTTTAAGCAAACCGAGTAAGAACCCTTCTAGGCAGAGCCTAGGTAGGGAATAACCCGAACCTTATGTTGCTCCCATCGTGCTTAAGCACCACTTCCCAGAAATAATTTCGAGCACCCAGAAAAAGCATCGACACAGTGTCGAACGAGCATCGCCTCCCCAGGCCCGACACGTGAAAACCTTCCAGGTTCGGTACTTTCTTGGCGCCAATCGATTCGACGGAACCGTCCCCGGCAGCGAGCATCGAGGAGAGGGAAGAGAGAAAGAGGAGGGGATGCTGAGAGGCGAGGAGGACGCGAGAGGAGAACGTGGGAGGATGAGGACATGGAGAATGAGGAGGAGGAGGAGGAGGAGAGGAGGAGGAGGAGGAGAATGAGGAGGAGGATGGCGAAGCTTAGCGCCTAGCCGTCGCCGTGCGACAGCGCTAGACTCTAAAACAGGGTGCCGCTGGCCACCCCTCGGCCGTCGTGCACAAGCATGCCACGCGCCTCACGCGCGAGGGCCTTCACTCAGCTGCTGCGTCCTGCCGCCGCGGCCAGCGCAGAGGTCCCGCGAGCACCACGCGACCCGCTCGGCCTACGTCAGGGGGACGGGCCGGCCAAGGGGCGGGTCGGTCGCGCGGGCCTTGGGGGCGCTCCCTGCCTTCAGGTTGGCGAGCTTCCATGGCTGCGCCGGGCGGCCAGGGCACCGTTCCCGCAGCTTCACCAGGTGGCGCTCGACGTTACGCCCACACCTGCAGCACCAGACCACCCCCGCAGTCCGCCACAGGTGGTGGCCATGGCTGGTGACCCGCGCGCCGGCCAGCTGCACATGGAGCCGCGCCGCCGCGTGACCTACGCATCGCTCGTCCCGCAGCGCCTGCGCTGTCGTGGATCTCTTGCCGCACCTCTGGCACTCCCAACCTCCGCCGCGTCGGCGAGCTGGGACGTGCGCCTCGGATGCCTCAGGAACCAGCTGCAGCCGCGGAGGTCGAGGTAGGGCGGGCCCGGCCACCTTCCCGACGTCTGGCCAAACCCCGTCCGACTCGTAGACCCTCTCGGTGAGCTCGGCAACGAAGTTCAAAAAGAAGTTCACCTTCTCGGCTTCCTCCCGGCATGCGCCCTGGACGAACTCGAGGAAGACGTTGGCGCCCTCCCCGGCGCCCTGCCCAGCCCGCTCGTCGGCCACAGCATGCAGCATTGGCACGAGCGATCAGCAGCTCCTTGCCTTCCAGCGTGGCTAAGGCCGCTGCAGACCTGTGGGCCTTTGTCTTGCGGAACTGGACACCGTGTTGCCCCATGCCGAGGTCGTCGATTTTCCGCCAGACGGTACAGGATGGCCCGCCAGAGATCCGCGTCCGGCCTGGCCGCGCACGAACACCAAGCAGGGCCCGCAGCGATCCCGTCAAGGATGCTCTGTCGGTCTATGTGGAGCGTGAGCGGCGGCAGCGCGTGCGCCAGGGCGCGCTCCACCGCCTGCAACTCCGCCCTCGCAATTGTGCGCTGGACGGGGAGGGAGACGGGCAGGGGGCCCCACACTGCTGCTGCAACCTCCATGGAGACGGGGTCCAGCGCCGCCACGGCCCACCCGGCTCGCCCGAGCCAGCGCCACTGCCCGCCCTTGTGGCTGCCGTCCGTGCCCACGTCCCCAGTCACCAACGCGTCGCCACTGGGGCACTCCCAGCTCTCGATCAAGTCCTGCGGCTCGAAGCGGCACCGCAGCCCAGGGTGCGCAATGAGCCCGCGCTCCCAGAGCCAACGATCCGAGCTCGTCGCGAGGGCATGCTGCCAGCGCGGAGGGAGTTGAAGGCGATGCTCACGGAAGGCCGGACAGCTGCCGAGACGGTGCCGCGCCGTGCCGCGCACCTGGATGCCGCGAGCCGCACAGGCGCGGCACCATGGCGTCGCCGCGGCCCCTGCCTCGTACGCCCGGTGCTGCGTCCAAGGCCCCGCTGCCACCGCCTGCGCCGCAGCGGAGGCGCCGCCGCTCCACCGACGCAGGTGCCGCGTGAACCAGGTGTGCAGCGGGTCGATGAAGGGGGCCGGCTGGAGCGACGCTCGGGCCGGATCGGCGGCGATCCATTCCGACCACAGGACGGCCTCGCTATCCTTCAACGCCATGGCCTTGACGTCAACGGGGCAACAATGCCGGAGGTCCAGCTCGTGCCCGTCCCGCGTTACGAAAACGTGCCACGCTGGCCACGACCACCCAAGCCGTCGCAAGACCAGTATACACGTCGACGCTGGCCCTGCGAGTCTGCTCCAAGAATCCGCGCCCATGAGCCGCACCTGTTGACGGCGCCAAGCCGCCGCCAGGGTGCTCTCCGGCGTGGTGCCATCCCAAACCTGCTCGGCCCAGGATGCCAGCGGGGCAGCATCGCACTCTGGCCACGGCTCCTGTCCGAAGATCGCCAACCGCAGCGTAGTGGACCGGTGCCGATGGCGGCCGGGGAGGCCGGCATTGAGGGCGGCCCGCAGCGCGTGCACCTCCAAAGGCTTCAGGCCCAAGGCGCGGTAGCCATACGTCACGGAAGGCTTAAGGCCCGCCTTGGTCACCTTGTACACCTTCCCGCCCCACCGTTTCGCTCCTGCCACGAGCGCCCGGCGCTTGGCCATGCGCGCAAAACGCTCCTTGCGCACTGCCGTAGGCGGGGGCCGCCGGCCAGACGCCCAGCCGCGCCTGTCGATGCCCAGCTGATTCGCTGTCTGCTGCAGGCGCACGCCGAGCCGGGCCATGCTGCGCCCGAGCTTCTTGGAGAGCCACTGGGACGTGGCAAGACACTTGCTCTTCCCTTTGACGCCGGGCAAAGTGAGGCTGACCTCAATCTGGAGCTCATCCCAGAGGTACGCAATCAGCCAGCTCGCCGACTCGCGCGTGGCCGTCTCCACCTCGCGCGCCACGCCATAGCAAGCCAGCCCCATGTCGTCGACATACTTGGCTAAGCTCACCTCGTGCCACCGCCCCCGCAGCAAGTCGCAGGGCTCCAGCAGGACCAGGTGCAGGACGGCCAGCGCGAAACGGCTGCCGGGCACGATGGCGGACACCACGGCGACGCACTCGCTATGACAGCCGTCCACCAGGAGCGCCCTGGCGAGGGAGTAACTGGCGAGAATCAGGCGGAGCACGCGCGGGGGGAAGCCCCAGCGTTGACCCCGCCGCCACACGTGCCGGAGCTGGACCTTCTCGAAGCACTTCACCAGGTCAAGCAAGACCGTGGCCACTGCCTGGCCGTCCGGGCCCTCCCCCAACGCCATGCCCGCCTCCTCCACTAGGTGCCGCCACACTGCCTTCTCGGAGGAGCCGCCCCGGCGAGCCCAATCGTAGTCGCGCTCCACCGTGCGCAGCCACGTCTGCACGAGCGGAAACCGGACTGCTTCCCAAAGGCGCACCAGCATGGGCATCTTCGCGATCGGCCGCTTGCCGGAATCGGGTTTCGGGATGAGGAGGTACACCAGCAGGGACACCTGGCTCGGCCACATGAGGGAGGCCTCCACCTTGTGCAGGAGGGTGACCATGTCCTCGTGACAGCCCAGGCTGCACTGCCCCAAGGCGCGGGGGTTCCAGCGCTCGACGCCCAGCCCCGTCTTCACCTTGAACTTGGCCGCGGCGCTCAGCAGATCGGGAACGGCGATGGCCGGTAGCGGCTCATCTCGCTCTGCCCCCGCCAGCCACTCTCGCGAGATCTCCTGCACCTCCGCCACGTTCGCCTGCCACACCTGGGACCACGCGTCCAACTCCGCTGCGCAGACGGCCTGAGGAGAGCACGACGCGCTGCAATTCCCGCTGGTCGGCGACTGCCAACGCGGCAGTGGGCGAGTGAGTCTGTGCAGGGCGCCCGCGTTTCCTGCCGAGGCAGCCGCATACCTCTGCCGTACGCCGGCGAGCACGGCAGCAGCATCGGCGCGTGCCGACTTCTCGGCGTCGGTGTCCAAAGTGGCACGACTACGGGCCAGCGATCGCCACGTCGCGCGCCCAACCAGGGACTGGGCAGGCGGCCTGGGCCCAGGCCCAGTCTTGATGGCCCCGGCGATGGCCCGGCAGTAAGCGGCCCGCGCCTCCAGCCGCAGCCGCAACTCGTCGAGGATGCGGCCAGCCTCCACGTCCATCTGGACCCATCGTGCCCGCCTCGTGATAGCATGCAGCAGGTCTGCCATCCGCTGCCGCCGTTGCGGGTGGTCGCCCTTCGAGTCAAGAGCAGCTCCCACGTGCCAAAGTTCCGATATCATGGTGCTGAGCGCTCGCAGGTGGTATGTCGCCCTGGACTGTCTGGCCGGAAGCTGTCGGACCCCGCGCACGGGCCTCTCCCGGAAACCCAGCGGCTGGCCCCGCCCCTCATACCGTCGCGCGTCAGCGCCCACCAGATCGTGCAGCCCCAAAATCTCCTGCTCGACCTGACCAATCACTGCAGCGTAGGCCTTGTCGACCTCCAGCTGATTCCTGGCCTCGCCTGAGATCGGGAGTCGGGGCGGAGGCTCCCGCGCGCACCCGACGGGCGCCTCCAGCGGGAGCGGCGCGGGCGCCCGCGGCTCCCGGACCACCATGGTCACCGGCCGCCCCCGCATCCGCAGCTCGACAGGTTTGTGGGGGGCTGAGGGCCAGCCCTATCGGGGCCCCAGAAACCAAGCATTATCCCAGTGCGACCCTACCTAGGCGTTGAAGCACTTAGGAAAGCAACATCTACATCTACAGCTGCATTCAGGAAAGCAAGATCTACATCTTCTATCCTGTGCTATGCTGCACTATGCTATGCAAGGCTATGCTAGGGTACGCTCGGCTGCGCTGTGTTACGATCAGCTATGCTGTGCTACGATATGCTGCGCTATGCTATGTTATGCTATGCTATGATATGCTATGATATGCTATGCTGCGCTATGATATGATATGCTATGCTATGCTGCGCTATGATATGCTATGCTATGATATGATACGATATGTTGCGCTAAGATATGCTATGCTGTGATATGATATGATACGATGCACTATGATATGGTATGCGATGCTATGATATACGATGATGTGCTGTGCTATGCTATGTTAGGATGCGCTGTGCTATGATACGCAATGGCATGATATGCTATGCTATGCTGCGCTATGCTATGCTATGCTATGATATGCTATGCTATGTTTGGCTATGCAATGCTATGCTATGCTATGCTGTGCTAATGCTGCGCTGCGCTATGCGGCGCTGCGCTAAGCTAAGGTAAGCTAAACTATGCTAAGCTAAACTAAGCTACGCAAAGTTAGGCTAGGCTAAGCTAAACTAAGCCAAGCTAAGCTAAGCTAAGCCAAGCCAAGCTAAGCTAAGCTAAGCTAAGCTAAGATGATATCAGCTAAGCTAAGCTAAACTACGCTAAGCTAAGCTAGGCTAAGCTAGGCTAGGCACAGCTAAGCTAACCTAAGCTAAGCTAATCTAAGATGATATAAGCTAAGCTAAGTTAAGCTAAGCTTAGCTAAGCTTAGCTAAGCTGGGTGAACCCAAGGGGCGCAACTGGGGGAACCGCGGGGCGGATGCCGGGGGAACCGCTCGGGGCGAGGAACACTGCCTGGCCCTTTAAGCAAACCGAGTAAGAACCCTTCTAGGTAGAGCCTAGGTAGGGAATAACCCGAACCTTATGTTGCTCCCATCGTGCTTAAGCACAACTTCCCAGAAATAATTTCGAGCACCCAGAAAAAGCATCGACACAGTGTCGAACGAGCATCGCCTCCCAAGGCCCGACACGTGAACACCTTCCAGGTTCGGTACTTTCTTGGTGCTCGAAGTTCTCTCGGGTGATCAAGGCTAAAGTTGGTTGGGACATCATAACCCGAACCCACCTTCCGCTGTCAGTTTTTTTTCGACGCAAAGAAGTCTGGGGATGGGGGGGCCATTGGACCCCTCGACCCCTCTTTCTGCATTCCTGATCTGGGGCCCCAAACCAAGCGAACACGCCTGTTGTGGAACGTATGCGATGCGGGGATCCCAGGGTGGGAAGAGGGGGGATGATAACGCGGGAGGAGGAGAAGGACGAGGAGGAGGACGAGGCGGAGAACGCGCGAGGAGAGAGATAAAGAGAGAGAGAGAGAGCGAGAGAGAGAAGGGAGAGAGAGAGAACAAAAAAAAGAAGGAGGAGGAGGAAGAAGAGGAGGAGGAAGAGAAAGAGGAGGAGGCACAGCGTCGGAATGTCGTTGACTCTGTCGCTCTACCACCGCTCCCGCCGCTCACCGCCCGAGGGGCAGCTCGGCCGCGCGGAGCGCCCCAGCGGCCATCGCAAGGGCTTCGGAAGGGGGCGAACAGACCGGAACTCCTTTGACTACCTGCCAGGCCACCCCAACCCAACCCGAAGACCCGAATTTCGGGTTGGGGGGGGGGGCACGCGTGTTTTCTCGATGTTTCCCGACCCCCCCCCTACTAGAAATCGAGGGTAAATCTGAGCCTTCGGGTTGGGTTGGGATGGTTTGGTGGGTGGTGATCCTTGGGCCACGGCGACTGCGCTCGCAGTGCAGCAGTCGGTGGGAGCGGTCGCTGATGCGGCAGCGGCCGCGGCGGAGCGCCCAGGCGACGGGCAATCCGAGGGGCGCGGGGGCCCTGCTGGGGCCGCCGCCGAGCTCGACGCCGTGGCCAGCGCGCAGGAGCTGGAGGAAGAAGAGAGGAGGAGGAGGGAGAGGAGGAGCAGGAGGAGGAGCAGGAGGAGGAGGAGGAGGAGGAGGAGGAGGAGGAGGAGGAGGAGGAGGGAGGAGGAGGAGGAGGAAGAGAGGAGGCGGAGGAGGAGGAGAGGCCGAGACAAGAATGACGAACGAGCAACACACACACCCATACCCATAGGGGGGTCGTTGGGAGGGGGACTGGCTATGGGCATGGGTGCGGGTTGTCGGACCCTGGGGAACGCTCCCGTTCGAGCGGGGACCCCTATCCGACAACACGCACCCATAGCCCTCTCCGACCCCTCTATGGGTATGGGTGTGTGTTGTTGGTACGTCAAAGAAGGCGGTGTCTCCGTCGGACGGTGATGTCCGGAGGCGGGGCCGTGGCGCACAGGTGAGCACCCGGTCTGCAGCGATCGCACCCCGGGATTCTCCTCCGGCTCGGGCCAGGGCCGCACGTGCGCTCCTGCCTCCCCTAATGCTACTCCTGCCTGCCCCTGCACTGCGACCCCCCCCGACAAAATGACAGGGGCAGGGGGAGGCGAACGGGGAAGAGACCGACGAACACATCCCCGTGAAGCAAGGCCCTGGTGCAGCAGGCGGTCAGCGCCGTCAAGGGCCGTGCGTCCACGCGGTTCCTCCACCAGAAGGACCCGCGCACGGCGCGGCAGGGGAACGTGGAGGTCAAGCCCCCGACGGAGGAGCTCAGGGCTGCAGCCGACGAGAACAGCAGCGCGCTGAAGGAGGCAGCCGAGTTGGTGGTCAGGAGGACCTGCGCGGGCCGCAGGCAGCTCCAGGAGCGGGAGCTGAGGCGCCTGCGCAACGAGGTCGCCCGCGCGCCGCCTGCGGTGGCGTGGACCTGGCAGCGCTCGTGCAGGCGCGCGTCGGCGAGCCGAGGTGCTCCTGCGGCGGGCTGGCGGAGGAACGCGCGGCCGCAGAGACGGCCTGCGCAGCGGCGCAGATGGCCACTGGCCTGGAGATCGTGTTTTTTCTGTTCGGCGAGAACTGGGGCTACCCGGTTGGGGCGGGGGCGGGGTAGGTGAGGGCCGATCACCGACCCTTTTCTCGGGAGCGGCCAATGAGGGGGGGGGCGTCCAAGAGGGGGCGGTGCAAATCAATGGCCGGCGGCATGTGCGCGGCCAAAGGGGGGGCCAGGGACGTAATGAAATGAGAAGAGGCGCCATGAGATCTGGGGAGATGTCATGGCCCACGCCATGATATCCATTCCCCCCTAGTCATTCCCCCCCTCCTGGCCGCCCCGATTTTCGCCCCGCGCATGCCCGTGCGCACCACTGCTGCTCACCCCCTTCGGACCTGCGCAACAGCCGACACCATCAAGTGCTGTCAGGGGAGGGGGGCAGCAGCCCGAGAACCCGGGTGATCGACGGACCCTATGAGAGCAGCATCCTGCGGGGCGGAGGGCCGCCGGCGGGCAGCGCGAGGGCGCGGGAGGCGTGAGCCCAGACCCACGACGCCGTGATTTTTTCGCGGCGTCGACCCCCGGAGGTCTGGACCCTCTCCCCGGGGCCGGTTTTCCACCCTGGATCGTTGTTTTGGGCGGTCCCGAGGCCCAGGAGGGGCTCCCGGAGGCCGACGAGAGCGACAAGCCTCCCGCCGCATTCTCTTCGCGAGGGGGCCGCCCCACTGCGAAGAGCCTCCCGCCGACAACAGCGCGAGGAGGTCCGGGGCGGCAGCCCACGCGCCGCGCGATGGCGAGGCGGCGCCGACGGCCGCAGGCCTCCGGGCGGGCGGGCCGCAGGCGGGCCGCGCGTGCGCCTCAGTTGCCCGGAGGCTCGGCCGCGCGCCGCGCTCGGGCGCCCCGGGCGCGCTCGGATGGAGCAGTGGTGGGCGCGGCGCGCGTTCCGAGGATCGTCCTCCTCCTCCTCCTCCTCCTCCTCCTCCTCCTCCTCCTCCTCCTCCTCCTCCTCCCTCCCTCCTCTCTCCTCCCTCCTCCTCCTCCTCCTCCTCCTCCTCCTCCTCCTCCTCGTCCTCCTCCTCCGCGTCCCAGCCCGCCCCCCTCCCCTCCCCCCCTCCTTCCACAATTACTATAATATGAATACTACTCTCCCTCTTCCCCTGATGACGGCCTGGGAATGTCCGACCCCCCCCGCGTACTGTTTTTTTACACACCGGTTTCCCCGGAGTTGGGTTTTCGCTTGCATTTTTTTCCAAAATGCTGCTCTCGCTGAGGCGCCGGCCTCATTTTCGGGCCCCGCTCGTTCCGAATCGTGCTCCCGCTGCAGCGCTGGCCTCATTTCCGTGCTTCCGCTCGTTCCGAATCGTGCTCCCGCTGCAGCGCTGGCCTCATTTCCGCGCTTCCGCTCGTTTCGACTCGTGCTCCCGCTGCAGCGCTGGCGTCATTTCCCGTGCCATGCCACGGCATGCAATGCAATGCTAGTTTGATGCTACGCTTCGCGGTGCTCTTCTACGCCATGCCATGCCGTGCTCTACAATGCATCGCGCACCCTTTCGGGATCATTGCCCTGCTCGACATCCGACTGAGCGAGTAGAGAGGGGATCTGCGCCACGGTAAGGGATGGGAGGGAGGGAGAGGATGTCAGATATGACGCGAGCGCACCTAGCTTGCTTCCTTCCCCTCCCCCCCTTCCCTCTCTCCCGCCCCTCCCCCCCTCCCTCCCGCGCGCCGCTCCTTGCGCCCCTCGGCGCCCAGGCTCTCGTCCGACGCCTCTGGGCGCCCCGCGCCGGAGCTCCAGGAAGTCCGAGTCCGCCGCGGGGTCAGGGCGCCAGCGCCTCGCGGCCGCTCACGGCAGGGCGCGGGGGGTGGGGGGGAAGGGGCGCCCTCACGGCGACGCCTACGGCGGACGACGACGGACGACGACGGACCACGACGGACGACGACGGACCACGACGACGACGAGGACGACGAGGACGACGACAGCGAGGACGGACACCGACGACGACGACGACGACGGCCACGACGACGACGGACAACGACGACGACGACGAGCGGCAGGACCTCTCGGCGACGCGAAAGACGACGACGACGACCACGACGGACCACGGCGACGACGAGCAGTCCGAGAACACCTCGCGGAAGCTTCTGGTCGTGTTCGTGGCGCCCGGCAGCGCGTTTTTTTTAATAGCGCGCGAAGCGGGCGTGATGCATCTCCCTCACGTGGCGCCATCGGGGCGCTATGGGGGGCAACTTGGGCCTTCTTTGGCGCCGCAGGGCGCTATGGCGCTATCGGGAGCTCTGGACAATCCGCCACTGTGCCCCTGGCGCGGTGAGGCGTGAAAGAACGCCAAGGGCTGCCTGGTCTTTTTTTGTATAAAAATATTATATTTATAGACGCAACAGTACATACGTTTGACTTCTGATCTAACCAAGCCCACCCCTTCTCGGCGCAGACTGCTGCACGCGTCGCCCTTCCTTTCCGAGGCCGCTGCCCTCGTATCCTCCCGTGGATGGTGCACTACCGGCATGGCAGCTGTTGTCTTGTCCCCCACTCCACGCGTGCCCGCTCGAGGGCAGTGCATTTCCCGCATGGCAGCTTAGGCCTGAAACCTCAGCCCATGCGCGCAGCTCGAGGATTCTGCACTTTCCGCATGGCTGCCGACTCCTGGACCCCTCACCCCACGCGCACCCGCTCCAGGATCGTGCACTTCCCGCATTCGCAGGCGCCGCTCCCCAGCGGTCCAGGGCCTCCCAAGCCACGGTCCCTCGTTAAAAAAAAATCTTGGCGATGGACCCAACCATATGCAGTTGCGAGTACCGCAAAGCAGGCTGAACGAATGAGAGGGAACTCCCTAAGGGGCCACGAAACGTGTGAGAGGTGTGCCGAAATTGGTGCGGTGCCGCCATGCGAGCGCAGCCACTGGGGCCCTCGGTGGAGCTCCCTCAGGGGCCACACAACGTGTGAGGGGTGTGCCGAAATTGGTGCGGTGCCGCCATGCGAACGCAGCCACTGGGGCCCTCGGTGAAGCTCCCTATGGGGCCACGAAACGTGTGAGGGGTGTGCCGAAATGGGCGCAGTGCTGCCATGCGGACGCAGCCACTGGGGCCCTCGGTGGAGCTCCCTATGGGGCCAAGAAACGTGTGAGGGGTGTCCCGAAATGGGCGCGGTGCCGCCATGCGAACGCAGCCACTGGAGCCCTCGGTGGAGCTCCCTATGGGGACACGAAACGTGTGAGGGGTGTACCGAAATGGGCGCGGTGCCGCCATGCGAACGCAGCCACTGGAGCTCTCGGTGGGGCTCCCTATGGGGCCACGAAACGTGCGAGGGGTGTGCCGAAATTGGTGCGGTGCCGCCATGCGAACGCAACCACTGGGGCCCTCGGTGGAGCTCCCTCAGGGGCCACGAAACGTGTGAGGGGTGTCCCGAAATGGGCGCGGTGCCGCCATGCGAACGCAGCCACTGGGGCCTTCGGTAGAGTTTCCTATGGGGCCACGAAACGTGTGAGGGGTGTGCCGAAATGGGTGCGGTGCCGCCATGCGAACGCAGCCACTGGGGCCCTCGGTGGAGCTCCCTATGGGGCCACGAACGTGTGAGGGGTGTGCCGAAATGGGCGCAGTGCTGCCATGCGGACGCAGCCACTGGGGCCCTCGGTGGAGCTCCCTATGGGGACACGAAACGTGTGAGAGGTGTGCCGGTGCGGTGCCGCCATGCGAACGCAGCCACTGGGGCCCTCCGTGGAGCTCCCTATGCGGCCACGAAGCGTGCGAGGGGTGTGCCGAAATGGGCGCGGTGCCGCCATGCGAACGCAGCCACTGGAGCCCTCGGTGGGGCTCCCTATGGGGCCACGAAACGTGTGAGGGGTGTGCCGATATGGGTGCGGTGCCGCCATGCGAACGCAGCCATTGGGGCCTTCGGTGGAGCTCCCTCAGGGGCCACGAAACGTGTGAGGGGTGTGCCGAAATGGGTGCGGTGCCGCCATGCGAACGCAGCCACTGGGGCCTTCGGTGGAGCTCCTTATGGGGCCACGAAGTGTGTGAGGGGTGTGCCGAAATGGGTGCGGTGCCGCCATGCGAACGCAACCACTGGGGCCCTCGGTGGAGCTCCCTATGGGGGCCACGAAACGTGTGAGGGGTGTCCCGAAATGGGCGCGGTGCCGCCATGCGAACGCAGCCATTGGGGCCCTCGGTGGAGCTCCCTATGGGGCCACGAAACGTGTGAGGGGTGTGCCGAAGTGGGCGTGGCTGACGCGGAGGGGGAGGAAGGAGGAGGGGGAGGAGGAGGAAGGAGAGGAGACGCGGGGCACCGTTTCTTCAAAACGAGGACCCAACACCACAGGATGGTTGGGAACTAGTTTGAAACAGTGGATGTGCGTCCCGAGCTTACAAGACGGCCCGTGCAGGCAACCAAAGAAATCAAGATGGCCCAAGATGCCTCGAAGACGGCCCAAGATGGCCCAAAGGCGGCCGCGTAATGATTCAAGACGGCCCAAGATGCCTCCAAGAGGACCCAAAATGGCTACAAGAGGACCTCCAACAGGGTCAGCAGAAAAAAACAAATAATAATAAGAGTAATAAGAAGAAGAAACCCGAATCACTGAATTCCTTTAGGTTTATGAGCAATTTCGTATTCTCGCCTTTTCGGGCTGCCGTCAGCTCACGACGGCCCCAGAGGACTCCACCATGGCCCAAGAGGCACCCATGACGGCCCCAAGACGGCCCACGTGGGCCTCCCGTGGGACCCAAGACGGCCTCGGAAAGCCCCTCGACGGCCCAAGACTGCGCCAAGACGGCATCTTCGTTCGCATCATCATCATACACCGTCGTTAGCAGCAACAACATCGTCGTCACAAGCAACCCATTCGCCACAATCGCCGTCACCGTCATCGTCATCGTCGTCGATGTCACCATCACCATGACCCACACCACCACAGTCACCATCACCGTCGCCATCACCAGCACCATCAACATCATCACGATCATACTCAGAATCATCATTATCAGAATCCTTCTTGTCATCAGTATCAGCGTCATCGCCACGTCATCGGAATCATCATCAACCTCCGCATCACCATCATCATCAACATCCATCATCATCAGAATCATCCTCCTCCTCATATCATCATCATCGCCATCGTCATCGTCGTCATGATGATCATCATACCCATTGGGAGAATCATCATAACCAAAAGCATCACCATCACCATCACCATTATCATCATCAGAGCCATCATCATCATGCTAGCCATCAACATATGTTAAGTATAAACATCATCAATAGCAAACCCAACGTCAACAAAAATCAGCAGCAGCATCAGCATCAGCATCAGCATCAGCATCATCATCATCATCATCATCATCATCATCATCATCATCATCATCATCATCATCATCATCATCAGCATCACCATCATCGTCGTCGTTGTCGTTGTCGTCGCCGTCGTCGTCCTTGTCACCCCCATTACACTCATCACGGCTCTCCCGAGCCTGGAGACACGAGGCGTCACACGTGATGGCCTCTCCCGTGCTCCCTTGAACAGTCGCGGCCCAGGATGCTGGGCTGGCACGGTGGCGGGACTCGCCGCAGGCAGCTTGACATTCAGGCGCTATTCGCCGACATACACTCCATGCAGGACGGGCGGAGACGTCCGTGACCTGCCATCTAAGAACAGCAGGGAGGGAGGGAGGGAGCCCCCAGACACCCGGCGTGTCGAAAGAATCGAAGGACCAATTTTTTATGTTAAAACAGGGCTAGGATCGGGATAAATCGCTCCATAGCGTTCCGGAGCGCTCTCAGAGCGTTCCGGAACGCTCTGGAGCGGCCGCGGCGCCCAATACATCCTCCAAACCCGCCGATTCTCAGAGATTTCGAGTTCTCCCGATCCGATTTTGGCCCGATCTTCGCGTCGTTTGATGTGTGCCGCCGATGTTCGGCCTCTCGCGGGGCCTCTGCGGGGCCTCGGGGCCGTCCGAAAACACGGCTCGGGACGGGCAGCCGGTCCCCCGGGGGAAGGTGGTCGAGAGGCCGAGGGGCCCGTGGCTCGAGAGGACGGGAGCGCCGGGCGTCTGGTTGGAGGCCTAGAGATGGGCACCAGCACCAGCACAGGGGGTTGCCTCCACATGGGGACGATGATCCTGGACTTCGGTGTTGGTGGCAATCTTTCGGTCACCCTGAAGCCAGAGTATTACCACCATCACCGAGATCGGGATCGTCTTCCCTCGGCAGATGCACACCGCCGATTCTGGTGTTGGTGTCAATCTCTAGGCCTGCGATCTGGGGAGGGAGGGAGGCCGTCGGAGGGGCAGCGGAAGCGCAACTACCTCGCCGCCGCCTCCGCCGCCGCCTCTGCCGCCGCGGACGCTTGGTCCGTGAAGAAGGCCTCCGCCGCCTCCACGATGAAGTAGCCGAAGCTGTCGGCGTTCAGCAGGGCCTTGTAAGGGTCCCTCCTCGCGAGCTCGATGCACGTTTTCTCACCGTACCCGAGGTCAGCGAAACCGTGGCAAGCGGGGTAAGCGCACGACTCGGTCATGATCTGTAGCCGCGTGTACGAACCATCCTCAGAGAATGCATCCAACATGGCGAAATAATTCGTCTCGTCATCTCTGACGAAACTCAAATCTCCACTGATGCTCTGGTTCACCAACTGCAGCACAACCGTTCCGGGGAGTGTGTATAGCACAGCCGAGTTGGACGTACTGATCCGCGGCAGCACCTGGAGAGCCTCCAAGTGCGAAGTCCTCACATGAACATACGATACATTGGGGTTGGTGCATACGTCGGTCAAGAAGGCGGGTCTGTGGTGCGACGACTCGTGGATAAAGGTCTGAACGCTCTCCCATATGCCGTGGGACGCGAAACCGTCGGGACCTGGGGGTGCGGTCGAAGGGTAAGCAAAATAGTAGTCGCATAAAGTCACAATATTGGAACCAGCGGGGGTGGTCGCCACCCCTGCTGGTCCCATCATCGCACCAGGCACAGAGAACATCGGGACCCCCACGTCACCGAAGCTATAAACGAAAGCATACATGCCCGCCTGGCACATCGGGTTTTCTGAAGAGTATACGATCGTTGCCGTGTTCACTGTCTCTGCAATTGCGTTGATGATCCGGAGAAGCTCCCTGTGGACGGCCGAATCTTCATGCGCAGTTGTTCCAAACCATCGGTTCAAGAAAGGCTTGGTACCCTCAGGATCGATCGCCAACTTTAAAATCGCGGCATTCAGGTATGCTCTGCTCACCATGTTGTTTCTGGCCACCTGCACGGTCCACGGGTCGGTGTGGCCTGGAGCCAGGCGGGAGACACTGTCGTAAGGCGCGTAGGTTACCCACGCGTCCGGGTAGACGCGGAAGACGTACAAGATCCGCAGAGCGAGATGATCCACCTGATTATCGGCTGTGGCTTCGAAGCCCGAGGCCTCGGGAACGCGTGGCCGCGGCCCTCCCGCACCAGCGCCCCGCCGTTGCTGCATTGCGGTGACCTCCGCTGCCTCCCCTCGTGGCCGGGACACCCGCGACAGCAGGACTGCCCCGCCGACCGACGTGCCCGCCACAGCGGCGTGGCTCGGGATCCCGCCCGTGTGGTCCGCGGAAAGCGCCATGATAGACGCTGGGGACATGTCGTAGTCGCACTTGGTTCGGTTCCCCCGCCCATCCTCGTCGAAACTTACGGGGTAGCAGCCGAGGTCGGGGGCGTTGGGCACCTCGACGCCTGCGGCCCTCAGGATGTCGACGGCGGCGTGGCACAGCTCCTCACAGCTGAGGAGCGGATCTGCCTCGACCTCGCTGTGCAGGCCGGCTTCGATTAAGAAATACCGCAGGGCGGCCTTGGACGCCAAGGCGTGCTCCAGCTGGCTGAGATGCAGCTTCCCATCCTTTCGCTTCGCACCGCCGTTGCACAGCGTCGCGGCGAGGGAGCACATCGGGTAGGCCCGTCTCCTGATCCGCGCGGGAACCAGCTGCACATGGGCGACCTCGTCGGCGCCGCCGCCTCCGCTGCAGCCGCCAGGCGCGGCGCAACTATCTGGCGTGGCTCCTACGTTGCCCGTCGCAGGCATCAGAGAGCCGACCGCGTGCCGTCCTGGCTGGCTCAGCGCCGCCGCTGCCAGGACCCAGCGCCGCAGCGGCATGGCCGAGGCTCTCTCGCAGGCGTAATTTGTGAGTTTCCGCTGTGGGAATATCGGACCACACCCACCACTTGAGCCAATACGGCTACTGGGGAGGGAGAGGAGGGAAGGGAGAGCGGAGAGGACGAAGGGAGAGGAGAGGAGAGAGGAGGGGAGAGGAGGGAGGAAGGGAGGGGAGAGAAGGGAGGGGGGGAGATGGGAGGGATGTCGGCCGTTTGAGGGGCAGGGCGCTGGGCGGGCCCTCCTCAAAACCTCCCGAGAAGGGCCCTCGCCCCTCCGCCCTCGAAGAAGGGTGCCCAGTGGGCGCGGTCGCTGGAGTGGCACAGGACGGGTCCAGGGCCAGGATAACATGTCAGGGGGACGTAAGACCTGGGTACAGGGGGCTCGGAAATACCCGACGAGGTCGTCAAAAAAATGGCGAGGCCGAGCCTGCATTTTGACGAGGCCTCCCGCTGCAGAAATCCCACGAAACTCCTCCTCGTCAAAATCCGAGGCGCGGTCGTCAAAAAACGATGGCGAACCCGAGTCCTGGCAAACCCGGGTCTTACGCTCCCCCGAACATGGGGTGGTGACAAATCGAGAATCTATGAGGTCCGGCGACCCTGGAGGATGTCTCGGGCGCCGCAGCCTGCTCAGAGCGTTCCGGAACGCTCTGGAAGCTCCCCAAAGGCTTGACGACATTTTGCCAATCGACATCAATCGACTTGCGGGGATCAAACCGGATACATGAAGACACCCGCCGAAACTCGAGGTAGATCGAGGAACATCCGGATAAATCCAGGTATGCGTCCAAGTAGGTCCAACAGATCTCCAAACACATCTGGAGTAAATCGCGGCCGCCCCAGCGCGAGTCGAGGGACGGCAGACGTCGTTAAGCCTTTCGCGATGAAGGTCCTGGAACACTCTGGAACGGATTGAGCAGGAACCGACCGTCCCGGCATTCTTATATGCCTACCACGAGCGTTTTTTATAGTAGCCCAAACATGTTCTAACAACACAAACAATGTTCTTATGACATAAGCCCGATGGGTTAAAACAAAGCAGTCCCAACCAGAAGCGTCCTAAGAACCTTTCGCGCGACCCACAACAAGGTTTTATAACATTAATGCGTATCCCCCGCTGTCTGGCCCTGCCATGCGCGAGGCGCCTAACTGTGTGCAGCGGCGCTCCGTTTTTCTCGAGGGAACAGTCGCCGCCAGCACTGAGAACGAGCATCTCGAAAAGCATCGCGATTCAGACAATTCTCACCACGCAGGCCGAGGAGGTCGAAAGAAGATATTAGAAAGAAATGAGCAGGGAGAGAGGGCGGGGGACTTGAGCAACGGGCCGTGGAATGGACGGCAGCAGCAGCGACACCGAGGGATACAAAAACGTGTGGAGCACTGACCTGTCTTCCCCGCTGTCTGGGCCTGCCATGCGCGAGGCGCCTAACTATGTGCAGCGGCGCTTCGTTTTTCTCGAGAGAACAGTCGCCGCCAGCACTGATAACGAGTATCTCGACAAGAACCGCGATTCAGACAACTCTGATCGAATATGGCCGTAGCCACACAACGTGTCGAATGGCCGTCAGGCCGTCAAAACATTAACCGACCTTGACATGGCACTTTTTCATCGCTGAGACTTTGCGGCGGACGATAGCATCATCGAAAGCTCTGGCGAGTGAGCGGCAGAGCGGGGCAGGATAGGCTTCGGCGACAGCCGTCCAAAAAAAAAAACGCCTATCGGGCGCCCGACCTTCGAGCACTTGGTCAGGTCTTCCAGATCTGCTACAACAGCCGAGCGAACGCTTGCAGAGTTTGACTATCACGTGTAAATCGATACGGGACCCAAGGAACGAAGTTCTTTTTCTCCAAGGGCCCCCCACTGACAACAACCCGTGCTGGTAAGAGTCCACGCTGCAAATCTGACGTGAGCGGCGACAGGTGGGGCGAGCCAAATCCTAGACGTGCTGGGGTTCTCCACTGTGCAGGGTAGCTCCATGCGTCGCGACACAACTAAGACCGATACTGAGAAGGGCATCGTCAGATTGCCGAAATCCACGGCAGCCTGAGCGGAGGGAACGAGATTGGGCAGACCGAGCACACACGTGTCCGAGCGGAGGCGAGGGGGACCTGGCTGGATATCTCGCGCACGCGACCAATTGCCGCACGGCGTGCCCAGATGCACGCCAAGAATCAAGCCTGACGAATCCAGCCCCGGATGAGCTGTCGTTTGCTGGCCCCCCGAAGATCGCATTCTGGTCCATGCTTCAGATCCCAAGCCAGCACGTGGTATCCTCGGCGGGCCACTGCCCTGCCGTGGTGTCCCGAATTTGCAAACATCTCCAGACGCACTCTCACTGCGAACGCGCCCGGAACGGCGGGGCAGCGCGACTCCCTAAGAGAACCTCGGGGAGCGCGCTCTGACACCTGAGCGCGTGCTTCTGCAGGTCGGGCAGAAGTCTGCTGAACTGCTCGCCCAGCCTGGCCTTCCTCCCTTCTCGTAACGCATGACCGACGCGTCGGTATTCCACCTGCCTCTGCGCTTGACCTCCGGCAGGGGCCGCAGCTGGTTGACGAAGTCCCGGCCGGAAGCGGAGTGGCGCAGCAGATGCGGCATCGGCTCGGGGGCGAGCCTCAGCCGTCGCGCAGAGCGCCTGAACAGCGCGGCGAACTCGTCCACCGCGATGTTGAACAGGCTCGCGTTGGGATCTCCCCCTGCCATCAGACGCCTCAGCGCCTCCGCCAACCACTGGTCGCACGCCAGGTCGAGCACGAGGCTTTCGTCGAACTCCGCTGTCATGCTGGGCATGGCCTCCTTGCCATCCCGCGGGTGGAATACTGGCGCCAAGTGGCGAAGCGCCAGGCTGCCGGCGCCACGCGGCGGCGCGGCGTGCCTGGCCAGCACCCGGGACCACTCGCCTGGCCGCTTGTAGAACACCGTCGACAGCTCCACGCAGGCCGCCGCCTCCCACTTCCCCTGGCCGACAAGCTCGCGCGCCAATGCGGCCGCGATCGCGCCCTTCGGGCAACGGCAGCCGCGTCAGCGGCGGCGTCAGCACCTTCCGCCCGCGGAGTGACTGCCGCGCTGCAGGCGACCGAGTGGACCCATCGCGGCCTACTCTGAGTACCTCAATAGTTCTGGGCACCCGGACTACAAGGGCCCCCCCCCGGACTACAAGGGCCCCCTCCCGGACTACAAGGGCCCCCCCCCGGACTACAGGGCCCCCCCCCGGACTACAAGGGCCCCCCCCGGACTACAAGGACCCCCCCCCCGGACCCCACAGACTACACTCACCGCGCCCAGCACGAGTGCTACGGGTTGCCACAGCGCCCCCCCCCCCGGACTACAGGACCCCCCCCCTGGAGACAAGGGCCCCCCCCCCGGACTACAAGGGCCCCCCCCCCCGGACTACAGGGCCCCCCCCGGACTACAGGGCCCCCCCCCCCCCCCCGGACTACAGGCCCCCCCCCCGGACTACTGCGCACCCCAGAACTATTGAGGTACTCGGAGTATCCGCGGGTCGCTGTACTGCAGGGCGTTCAGCATCTGCACTACGCGCCAGTGGTCGACGCCTTCCAGGTGCTGCCCCAGCGTCCACTCGGAGAGGCTGAGGTCGAGCGCCGCCGATTCGGTCTCCGACAGATCCGTCACCTCGCGGTCGTGGATCGAGAATCTCGGCCGCGGCGCCAGCCCCTGCTCCGCCAGCCACACGTCGAGCTCGTCGGTCAGCTGCTGATAGCGTCTCCCCACGGTCTGCGTACGGACCGTGATCAGGCGGAGCACGTCCAGCGTGCCCGCCTGGGCAACCTGGGCACTGCGCCGCGCCAGCTTCCGCCTCTTGACCCCTTGTACGGACGTTGAGCTGCTCGGCTCCAAGTGCGGCGGAAGGCCAACCTGGGGGTCGACAAACAGCCGCTTCAGCGCCGATGTCGCAATCGCCGCGCCGCGCGCGAGCCCCCGCGACCGCGGCGCCGCGGCCGCCGCCCTGGCCTGAGGCAGGCGCCGCAGTCGCGTCAGCGCCGACGCCTCCGCCCCGGGCGTATCCACCGTGCCGCAGCCCTCGCGACGGACCGTCCGCGAAGTTCCACTCGCTGGGGAGCCAGCGGGCCCCCGGCCGCAGGCCAGCCGCGGCAACTTGCGCCGCCGCAGACGCCTGGGGCCGAGGATCGGCCCCTGCCAAGGGCCAACACAGACGACAGAGAATCGGTTAGAAGCAAGTGGTGTTGCCCAAAGGCCTAGGTGGCCCTGCAGATATGCATGGCCCCGAACGCGATCGCACAGGCCTCCCCATCCACGATGTTGTCCGGAGCTCTCCACTTGAGTGAAGCCACGACAGCCCAACCAGCATCGCGGAAGGATGGAGGCAGACGGCCCGCGGCCAACTGCCGGGCCTCGAGGTTGTCCTCCTCCGCGCCGACCATGCGCTGGAAGTCCCCGGAGCTCTCGAGAGGGGTCCTCGCCTTCCCTTCCGGCGCCAAGGCGCCCTGGCACGAGGCCCCCACTTTCTCCTCCGGCGGCCCAGTAATGATACCTGCCCAGGCCCTTGCCGCCACCTGCGTGTCGCCCAAGAAACGCCAACGCTCCGAAAAGACCCCCACCGAGCCCACGAGCTTCTCATCGAAGTCCTTGCAGACCAACCCGAAGCCCCAGAAGGACGCGTCAGTGCACATCACCTTGAAGCTCCAGGACACCAGCATGCTCCAAGAGATCATACTCAGAACGAGTCCAGCTCCCAACGGGCGGAGTCCAAATGGGGGACCGCGGCGCAGTGGCGTAGCCGTCGGATAAAAGCATACCCATGATTCAAAACAGCAAGGTGTTCACGGGATAGAAGAGCAACGAAAGTACAACGCCCCAACACTTTGTGGACGTCTTTGGGGTTGGCGACCCTCCTCGTCGTCAAGCAATCGAGTGCCATCCGAAGTCGCCACAGCCTTGATCTCTTCGGTCGGACCTCTCTTTCGCGGCCTCGGATCTCCCAGCCCAGGATTTCAGCTTCGTGATCACATGCGCATGCCTCATGGGTGGGGGGCCCCCTAGACGTCAAGGCAGTGTTGGCTAGACTGACAGCGCGGGCAACGGCCTCGGGATCGGTGCCCAAGGCCAGG